ATGATCCATTGTTTTCGTATAACACCCAGTGTTCCATGCAATATGTGCCCTCCTTAATACCCATCACCGGGCTAACCCATACCCCCACCCCCCTCCCCTCTAAAACCCTGTTTCTCAGAGTCCATAATCTCTCATGGTTCATCTCTCCCTCCGATTTCCCTCCCTTCATTTTTCCCTTCCTTCTCCTAATGTCCTCCATGCTATTCCTTATGTTCCACAAATAAGTGAAACCATATGATAATTGACTTTCTCTGCTTGACTTATTTCACTTAGCATAATCTCCTCCAGTCCCATCCATGTTGATGTAAAAGTTGGGTATTCATCCTTTCTGATGGCTGAGTAATATTCCATTGTATATATGGACCACATCTTCTTTATCCATTCATCTGTTGAAGGGCATCTCGGCTCTTTCCACATTGCTGCTATGAACATTGGGGTGCATATGGTCCTTCTTTTCACTACATCTGTGTCTTTGGGGTAAATACCCAGGAGTGCAATTGCTGGGTCATAGGGTAGCTCTATTTTTAATTTTTTGAGGCACCTCCACACTGTTTTCCAAAGTGGCTGTACCAACTTGCATTCCCACCAACAGTGTAAGAGGGCTCCCCTTTCTCCACAACCTCTCCAACATTTGTTGTTTCTTGCCCTGTCCATTTTTGCCATTCTAACTGCCAGTAGTGGCTGACGGAGGCTCCCTCCCCCGCCGTCTGTCTTCCCAAATATTGCCTCAGATTCACTTCCCCACGCATCCTACCTTCCAGAAAGTGGTCGCTTTTCTGTTCAGAGAGTTGCTGCTATTCTTTCCTTTGATCTCCTGTTGAGTTCGTAGGTGTTTAGAATGGTTTGATCCCTATCTAGCTGAATTCCTGGGACCAGATGAAATTTAGGTCTCCTACTCCTCCAGCATCTTGCTCCTCCTCCTGGCCTGCAAAGTTTCTGCTGAAAAATCCACTGATAGACTTATGGGGTTTCCCTTGTATGTAACTATCATCTTAGAAAAGATTGCTACTTTTAAAATTCTCTATTACTACTTTTTGCCATTTTAATTACTATGTGTTTTGGTGTGGACCTCCTTGGGCTGATTTTGTTTGGGGATCTCTGTGCCTCCTGGGTATCCTTCTTTCTCCAGATTAGGGAATTTTTCAGCTAATTCTTCAAAAAAATTTTATTCCCACTTTTCTTTCTCTTCCTCTTCTGGGATCCCTATAATGCAAATGTTATTGCACTTGATGGAGTCACTGAGTTCCCTAAGTCTATTCTCATTTCACAGAATTTTTTTCTTTCACCTGCTCAGCTTGATTACTTTCCATTACTCTGTCCCCCAGTTGCTAATTTTTTTTTTTTTAAAGATTTTATTTGCCAGAGAGAGAGATGGCAAGAAATGGAACACAAGCAGGGAGAGTGTGAGAGGGAGAAGCAGGCTTCCCGCTGAGCAGAGAGCCCGATGTGGGGCTCCATCCCAGGACCCTGGGATCATGACCTGAGCTGAAGGCAGATGCTTAACGACTGAGCTACTCAGGTGCCCCTCCAGTTACTAATTTGTTCTGCTTCCTGTAGCCTGCTATTTATTCCATCTGGTAAATTTTTCAATTTTATTTGTTGTGTTGTCTTTCATTCCTTTTTGTTTTCTACCTCTTTTTAAGGGTCTCACGGATGTCCTCCACTCTTTTCTCAAGTCCAGTGTGTATCTTTATGATCATTACTTTAAATTCTCTATCAGACATATTATTTATATCTGTTTCACTTAAGTCTCTTGCTGTGGTTTTGTCCTGTTCACTTGTGACATATTCCTGTCTCATTTTGTCTAACTCTGTGTCTAAAGAGACAGAAAGCTGCATGTTAGGAAAGCCCACTATTGTCTCCTGCTCTTGAAAGTGGTGGGTGGGATGTGCACTTTTAACAAGGTGGTGCTGTTCCTGTTCCGCAGGGGATATGCAGCCACCACTGAGACCAGGGCAGCTAGGGCTGCTGCACAAAGCAGGGGAAGGGCAGGTAGTTTCAACAAGGTATGTGCATCCTCCACAGGAGGTAACCAGCTACTGCAGCTGCCTGGACTGAAGCCCCACAAAGAGCACCGTTGGGAGACACTGTCTTGGCAAAATTTGCACTGGTCTTCTGGGGGTGGGGACCCACAGTGCTGGGACTGAGGCAGGCTCAGATGGAGGGGGTGGGGCACAGTGTAAACAAATTAGTGAATGCCTGCACCACACTGGTTTCTGCAGGTGACCATATATTTATGTGGGGAGCAGGGGAGGGAAATGGTGCTTGCCATCTCCTTTGCTCTTGCAGGAATCTCCCAGTGAAATGTGTCCCTCTAGGACACACTCTGTGATTAATAAATAGCTCTCCCTCCCATATGCTCCAGGCATTTTTCAAACTACTACTTCTGTACTATATCTCTATGGGCTGTTTGCTATGCTCTCGCTTTAATGGTAGTGACTCTGTTTCCTATTGCCCTCTGGGCTCTCCCAGAGCCAAGCCTGCTGATTTTTGAAGTTCCAGGCTTTAAATACTGAACTTATGAAATTTGACCTATCTGGTTTTCAAAGCCAAATGCTATGGGGATTCATCCACCCTGTGTAGGCTCCTTGGTGTGATAATCTTTTTCTCTCCCCTCTCTGCACCTGTGGCTCCCTCCCTTCCACTGATGGCCCACAGGTTATTTTTAGCTCCCCACTGTATCTCCATTCTTCCCTTTTTGATGGTATTGGAAGTTTAATTGTGGAGTTTGTTCTGCCATTCTTGTTGTTTTCTGGGTTACTTACAGTGATGCGAGTGTTATGTAGTTGTGTCCATGGATGAGGTGAACTCAGGGTCCTCCTATTTCACCATCTTCCTTGGAAGTCCCTTAGTTGGTGTGTTTTGCCTTGAATCCTGCTTTTTCAGATATTAATGTTGTTCATCTGTTCTCTTACAGTTAGCATTTGCCTGGTATATATTTTTTTCTTGCAAGCTGAATATGGCTGGATTTTTTTTTTAACCCAATCTTGGAGTTTCTAAGACTCTAAGGGGAATTTAGCCTGTTTACATTTACTGTAATAATACATTAGGTCTGATTCCTGACATTTTATGCATTCTAATTCTTTACTGCCTTCCCTTATTTGGGAGTTCTAAATGAATTCTTATTTCTTTCCTTTTTCCCTCCATTTTTATCCTTCAGTTAATTACCCTCCAGATTGTAACATGTTTTAAAAGTTATATTTTTCTATCGGTGGCAAGTATTAAACAGTTATTTATAACTTCCACTCTCCAGAACAATACAAGGCCATTAGCAAACTTTCACTTAGCTTTCACACACCCTCTCCCCATGTCCTGTGTTTTGTTGAAACCATATATAACTGTGTTAATTTTTTACATTGTACCTTCATTTTCCCAGAGATTAAAGTGACCTTAATTTTTTGGCAGCCCTTTCCATAATTTCTTAAATCCCACGTCTTTTTTTTTTTGCTTCAATCTGTTTTTCACTTGCAAACAAGCTTTTTGAATCTCTGCAGGTTTGTAAAGGTATTTATATTCACCCCAGTCTTGAATATTAATGTGGCTGAGTAGAGACCTCTAGATTCAAAATCATTTTCCCTGAGAATGTTTTAGCCATTGTATCTTTGTTTTTGAGCTCCTGATTTTGGTTCTTCCAATCTGATAGATTCATTTAGTAATTTTCTCTTATTTTTTTTTTAAGATTTTATTTGAGAGAATGAGATAGAGCATGAGAGTGGGGAGGGTCAGAGGGAGAAGCAGACTCCCCGCTGAGCAGGGAGCCCGATGTGGGACTCGATCCCAGGACTTCAGGATCATGACCTGAGCCGAAGGCAGTCGCTTAACCAACTGAGCCACCCAGGCACCCAATTTTCTCTTATTCTTATTTAACCTGTTTTTTTCTCTGCCCCCCCCCACTGAAAACATTTAGATTTTTTTTTTTCCATTTCTCCTTGGAATTTTGAAGTTTTACCAGAATATGTCTAGGTATGCAGCTTTTTTTCCCCCCCAGAAATTAGGTTTGCCAGTCATTGAGCCTGTTCATCTCTGAATTCTTCAGCTCAGAGTTTTCCTTTATTATTTCATGGATTTTGTTGAGTGAAAAGGAGGAAAAGCTTTTATGTTTTCATTATTCATTTCTACTTTTTATATTTCATGTTTTCCCATTTCATGAGTTTTTATTTTGATTGATTTTGGTCGTCTTTGCTTTTTTGAGAGTATCTTCCTTTTGCATATGTAAGGGAATCATCAGTTGAGGTTTAGAATTCTTGACTATAGTCTTTTCCCCTCAGGACACTGGAGACATTGTACCATTATCTTCTGCCAATCTTACTCTCTTTTCAAGGGAGTAACTTGTTTTATTTTGTTTAATGTTTTATATGCTTTTGTTTTCTTGATCCTTGAAATTCGGAAATTTCATCCAAATATGTGTATGTTAGGTTTTTTTTTTTTTTCTTTCTTCAATAATCCTACATGGTACTGGGGGGATACTTTCAATCTAAAGAATCAAATTCTCTTTCAGATTAAGTACATTTTCTTTAATTCTTCTGTTTGCTCCTTCTGGATTTCTTATACATATATAAGATCTTCTAGATCCTTCACAACTTAATATTTTTCTCATAATTTCACTTTTTTAATCCTTTCCGAGTCCTGGTAGAATTCTTCAAGTTGGTCTTTTGACTATAGGTTTTGTTTTTTGTTTTTAAAGATTTTATTTATTTATTTGACAGAGACACAGTGAGAGAGGGAACACAAGCAGGGGGAGTGGGAGAGGGAGAAGCAGGCTTCCCACGGAGCAGGGAGCCCAATGCGGGGCTCAATCCCAGCACCCTGGGATCATGACCTGAGCCGAAGGCAGATGCTTAATGACTGAGCCACCCAGGTGCCCCATAATTGACTATAGTTTTCCACATTCTCTAGTCTGATACCCTATTGTTTGCAGCCTTGATTGAGTTTTAATTTGATAATATTTTTCATCGTTGTAAACATTTTCTTGTTCTCAAAGAATCCCATTTTCCCCACAGGCAAGAAACTTTACAACTGTGCTGCATGTGGGAAGAGCTTCAGTCGGAGCACAGATCCTCGCTATCATCAGAGAATTCACACCGGAGAGAAACCTTTCATATGTGATACATGTGGCAAAGCCTTTAGTTATAACACAAATCTTCGTGTTCATCAGAGAGTCCACACAGGAGAAAAACCTTTTAAGTGTGGGGAGTGTGTCAAGGGCTTCCATCAGAGCTCCAATCTTTGCATCCATAAGAAAGTTCACACCGGGGAGAAACTCTACAAATGTGGTAAGTGTGGTAAGGGCTTCAGTCAGAACAGAGATCTCCAAGTGCATCGGAGACTCCACACAAGAGAAACTGTTTAAATGTGAAACTCTGAAAACATAGACTTAATGCTTGTCTGAAAGTCCACACAGGAAAGAAATGCTACAAGTGTGTGTGGTAAGTGCTTCTTCAGTCAGAGCATAGATCTCCAAGTTTACCAAAAAATTCACACAGAGAAACCATTAAATATGATAGATGTGGTAAGGGTTTCAGTTACAACATGAACCTTCATGTTCATGAGAGAGACCATAGGGTCTCACAGGGGTAGAAACCTTGTGTACATGAGAAGTGAGCTCAAGTCTTCACATTCATCAGATCCGTTGTGGGAGAAATACCCTACACATGTGGTCACAACTTCTGCTAGAGTGCATCTCTCCTCCTTTTACCAGAGTCTTTTTCTCTGACAACTCTGAGTTCCATGAGAGTCCAGCTATGCATGCTTTGCTCTCCATTTTGTCCCCAGCTCCTGGCACACTGCCTGGTACAAGTAGCCATTCACGAAGTATTTGTTGAATGCAAATCCACATGGGAGAGAAGCCCTGTAAGTGTGATGTGTGGTGAAGACTTCAAAGTCCACACATTGAAACCTTTTTAAAAAATGCTGCATGGTAGGGTGCCTGGGTGGCTCAGTTGGTTAAGCGACTGCCTTCGGCTCAGGTCATGATCCTGGAGTCCCAGGATCGAGTCCCGCATCAGGCTCCCTGCTCAGCAGAGAGTCTGCTTCTCCCTCTGACCCTCCCCCCTCTCATGTGCACTCTCTCTCTCTCAAATAAATAAATAAAATCTTTAAGAAAAAAAAAAAATGCTGCATGGTAAACATTTCGGTCAGATCGTGGTTTTCATCATTAGTTAATCCCTGTAAGAGAGAAGTCCTGTTAACCTGATGAATATACTAATGGACTTGAGATAAATATTCAAGTTAAATCAGTGTAGTAAATTTAAAAATATATACCTTCAACATAAGAATTCTCATCCCTAACCTCGCAATTGTAAAAAATACATGTTTTAACATAGGAGTTTTGACAAAAGTATCTGTTGTATTATTCAGGAAAAAAATCCTGTGAAATGACATTTTGTGTCAGGCTCTGCACTGTCTCCTCAGAAGGTTCATTCCATCTCAAAGAAGCTTCTGTTAGATATAACCAATGAGTTACCCAGCACCAATGACAGATAAGGTCTTCCTCCTGGGAAAGACACCCCTTACCTGGCAAAGGCCCTTCTAGGCTGAAAGCCTCCTGGCCCTAATTGAGCATCTCCCCATCCAGCATGTCTCCAGGCTGCTGGATGCCTGCAGCATAGATTGTAGAAATCTCCAGGTAAGGCATCTTCAGGGTATATGTCTCTAGAAGGGACAGCTAAAGAAAAGGGCTGCAGCAGGGTTTATGGAAGGGAGTTAGAGGAGAGGAAAACAAGTCTGAAAGGGAATAATTAGAGGGAAAAGGAAGAGAACAGTGCCTAGAAAGGAGGTTGTGGAATAGTGGGGGAGGAAAGCCCAGAGGCTTCTCCAAAGTCTCTAGCAAGTATGGTGACCCCCAATACGGGCTGTCCCTGGAAGTCTGAGCTGAGCAAAGAGTGGTCTGTAGTGGGTAGATCTTGACCCCATCAGCATTAGGGCCAGTTGGGACCAGAGGTGGAAGAGCTGCTGTGAGGAGCCTTGGAAGGCAACTCCATGCCCCAATTTCCCCAGGTGGCCCAAGTCAGGCATGGCAGGACCATTATCCCTCAATGGGAGGAAGGATCATATAGGAAGGCAGCAATAAGGCTGATTCTTTTCAGGAGGCATAAATTAATCAGAGACAGAGCCTTGCAATGAAGAGGGAAGACCTGGACCAGTGGAGGTTAGGAAGAGGTCAAGGACCTAGTTTCATCACTAAATGTGGGTAAGGAAGAGAGATGCTTTGTCTGAATCCTTCACCTAGGAGCAGTATGTTCTATGTGCCCCCTAAGCAGCCATTTCAAGGGGAAGGATATCTACAATTAGAAAGGCTTTGGGGCTCTAGGAGGACTGTCAGCTGAGCAGTCCAGAGACCATCGGCTCACGTTAGGAGAAAGGGTTGATATGCTGGAGGGCTTAATGGCAATTGGCGTAGGAGAGGCACTCAAATATCATTGAATGAAGGTATTAATAAAATTCTAAACTCACATTTTATATTAGTTTCTTTTCCTTCTTCCTCTTTGTTTTTCCTTTCCTTTTTTTTAGATTTAAAAAATATTTTAAGTATAAAATATATCAGGCATACAGAAAAGTTCAGAAAATATAATGACTATAATAGTATGTTAAAATTTTTGCCATATTAGCATCAGATTTTTTTTTTTTCTAGCAAGGAAAAAACAGATTTAAGTAAAGCTTCAAGCTATGTCACTTTGTTCAGAGGTATCAATTATGCTTAAGTCACTGTGTATTATTTCTATGTATGTTTTGAGTTTTATTACCTGTATGTCCATGGTATCTTAAATTTTTACATAGATAATATAATTTATTTGCAATTTGCTTTATGCCCCAAACATTACATTTTTTATATTTTTATGCTGATGTTTTAGAACTAATTAATTTCAGCTTGTCATCTTCTATCAGATAATCTTTTCAAAAGATTATTTGTATACCTCTGTGCCCATAACACATTTTCAAGCTTTTATAGAAATTGTCCTATTTAAAGACCTTGTAGAATCAATTTGTCAAAGTCCGTGAAAAATTTTTTGGATCATGATTTTTGGGGTTTTGTTTCTTTTTCTTTCATTCCTTCCATTGGATTAGGTTTTCTTTATTCTCTATTTTCCTCTACAAGATCAGTAGTTAAATTTTATCTTTTTGTTTTAACATTTGTTAACATTCATTACTTAATAAAGTCTGCATCATGCCTGTCCTTAAGAGAGTAGAACACTAACTGTGCTTCTCCTTCTCCCAGGTTATGTTATGGTTGTGTATAGTTTTAATTTCATCATGTTTTTAACACGTCCCCAGATTTGTCATTATTTTGTTGTAAGTAGACAATGCAAGTTTGGATTAACCTGCACATTTGCCAGTTTCTTACCACTGGTTCTTATATTTCCTCCTTCCTTGTGAATTCCATTTCTCAGCCTCCCAGAGCAGAGGCAACTTGTGCAGTGGTCAAAAACACCAACTCTGCAGCCAGATGGCCTGGGTTTGATATGTGGCTCTGTGACCTTGAGCAGATTACTGAATTTCTTTGTGCCTCAATTTCTCTATCTGTAAAGTAGGGATGATAATAGTATCTACTTCATGGGGTTGTTATAGGGATCAGATGAATTAATATTTGTAGAATGGTTAAAATAGTGCCTGGCTTGTAGCAAGCCTTATAAAAGAGTTCCTTATATAAATAAATTAATCTCTCAGATTTTTCTAATTTTTCAGCAAGAGTGTCTGTGAGTAGTAAGTTCTTTATTTCTCCCTTACTCTTGAATTATGGCTTAGCTAGGTATAGAATTCTCAATTGACATTTATTTTTACTCAGCAGTCCTGAGCCTCTGGTGCTACTTTTTAAAGTCTGTAATTAGCCAATTTATTGTTCCCTTTGAGACAGTGTGTCTTCTCTCTCTGGTTGATGTTCAGATTACCTCTTTATCTTTAAAAAGGTTTAGCAAGGGGCGCCTGGGTGGCTCAGTTGGTTAAGCGACTGCCTTCGGCTCAGGTCATGATCCTGGAGTCCCAGGATCGAGTCCCCCATTGGGCTCCCTGCTCAGCAGGGAGTCTGCTTCTCCCTCTGACCCTCTCCCCCTCTCATGTGCTCTCTGTCTCTCTCATTCTCTCTGTCTCAAATAAAATCTTTAAAAAAAAAAAAGGTTTAGCAAAATCCTGAAAAGTAGGTGCTATTTTCTGAAATGTGTCTAGGTGTGGGTTTACTTAGGTTTTTTTCTAATCAGGACATATTATGCTTCTACATACTGTTTTCTATTAATTCTTTATTCTTTGTGTACTTCTGTTAGATTTGTCATTTTTCTAGCTTCTTGAGTTACATGTTTAGAACTTATTTTTAGCCTTTTCTTATTTTCTAATATTTTCTGTATTTCAGTGAATTAAATTTCCTGTGAATACTTTGGCAGCATCCTTTCCAGAACACAGTTTGGCAATCTATATCAAAGTCCTTTAAAATGTTCATATCATGTGGCTCAAATGTCACATTTAATAATCTATATTAAGGACATAATCAGTTGAATTATATATAAACGATATACATTACCATGCTATTTCTACTATTTTTAAAAAGGAAAGGATTACTTTAGAGAGATTTTTTTTCTAAATCATAATATATTTATATAATCCAGTATTCTTCAGCAAGAAAATGTTTGGGGTCATTTTTAATGACTTAAAAAATGTACACAATATAGTAGATGTAAAGACAGAGGGAAAAACTTGGAAAAATACACTAATGTATTAATAGTGTAAATGGATTATTTTCTACTTTGTGCTTCCTAGTCCCTGCCAACAGAAGTATTGGTTCTTCTAATTACAAAATGATATGTCTGTTGTAAAATATCACAATATTATGAAGCAAAAGTAAGTGTAACTGGTTTATTGTGGAGTGTCAACTCAGTGGGGTATAGGTATATAAGATCATGAAATGGTGTTATTTTTCTAGTCACTTCCTTCATCCATATTCTGTTGAATTCCCCTATTTGATTGATCGAATGAATTAATGAATATTGAGTGGGAAAGAGAGCCCCTGAGGGAGGGAGAGCTTTAAGAAAGAGAAGACTTTCTCCCTCACCAGTTCCCCGAGTAAGAGTACAAACTGGGTAAAAGATTACAAACTGGTAAAAATATTTGCAACCCATAAAGAGATTCACCTCCCTATTCATGAAGAGCTCTTAGAAATCAAGCAAAGCACACACACACAAAAATGTGAAGAGACTGTTCAGAGATAATATAAATGGCCCTTAAATGTATGGAGAGGTATCAAATTTTCTCATATGAGAAATGCAAATCAAAGCCCTACTGAGATACCATTTCTCACTTAACAGATTAGCAAAAAACTGAAAAGTTAAAAAATTCATTCTTAATAAGGTATTGAGAAGCAGGCATTCTCATAAGTTGCTGTGGGGATTACAAAATAAAACTATGGAGAAGAATTTGACAGTATCTACCAAAACTATAGATACATTTGCTTTTTGACCCAAATATCCCATTTCTGAGAATCTGTCCCACAGATATATGTGCATTTGTGCCTTAAATATTTGGCATTGTTTCCAGTAGTGAAAAAATGGAAAACAACACAAATGTCCATCAATAGGGGACTGATTTAATAGACTGTACATCTACAGTGGAATGGTGTGCAGCTGTAATGAAAAAAATTTTCTTATTGAAATGGAAATATCTCCAAGATGTATTATTAAATACAAGGTAGAGAGGGGCACCTGGGTGGCTCAGTCATTAAGCATCTGCCTTCTGCTCAAGTCATGATGCCAGGGTCCTGTGATGGAGCCCCGCATTGGGCTCCCTGCCCTGTGGGAAGCCTGCTTCTCCCTCTGCCCACTCCCCCTGCTTGTGTTCCCTCTCTGGCTGTCTTTCTCTCTGTCAAATAAATAAAAATCTTAAAAAAAAAAAAAAAGCCAAAAACAAGGTAGAGAACAATGTGTTTATATGCCTGTATATATAAATATATAAAAATATATTGTATAAAATATATAATACATTTTATTAAGAATGAAAATATATATCCATATTTGCTTATATTTGCATAATGTCACACTGGAAGGATAAACAAGGGACTAACGAAATGGTTGTCTGGGAGAGCAGGGCTCAGAGTGAGGGTTTTGTTTTTTTCTAAATATAGTTTTTATTTGAACATGCTATTTTTAAAACAATGCTCAATGAGAGCCAACAGCTTTTAGCATTTATTGATATTATATTGGCTTCCCTATTTTGTTATTTTTAATAAATATTTTAATGCAGAATTTTTGCTTTTATGGGTTTGAGTTGTTTTATTTTAATCAGGATTTGTTATTATGGTTTTATAGTCTTAAAAGTGGGGTAATTCATTTAAGTAACTGAGAAAAACAAAAGCAAAATATACTCAAAAGCAAGCAGAAGGAAATAAAGGGCAGAGATCAATGAAATTGAAAACAGAAAGAAAATATATGCAATTGATGAATTAGTGAACTTTACATCTGAAACTAATGATGTACTATATGCTGGCTAATAGAATTTAAATTAAAAAAGAAAATAAACCAAAAGTTGATTCTTTTTTAAAAAGTTGATAAGTATCTAGCCTGACCAAGAAAAAGAAAAGACAAATTATTGACAAAGACTATTCTCCCTACAAACATTAAAATAAGGAACTACTCTGTGAACAACTCTACACATACATGCAACAACTTAAATGAAATGGACCAGTTTCTTGAAAGACACAAATTACCAAAACTCATTCAAGAGAAATAAAGTGAACTATACCTATTAAAGAAATCTAATTCATGGATTCCAAAAAAGAAAACTCCAGGTGCAGATGATTTCACTAGTGAATTCTATCAAATGTACAAGGAATAATTAACAATTCTTCAAAATCTCTTCCAGAAGAGGCAATACTTTCTTACTCATTTTATAAAGCTAAGAGTACCTTCGTATCAAAACTAGACAAAGAATACAAGAGAACTGCAGACCAATATCCCCCATTAAAATAAATGCAAAAATTCCTCAATATTAGCAAATCAAATTTGATATATAAAAAGATAACACAAAACAAATGTTATTTATCCCAGGAATACAAGACTGGTTCAATGTAATTCTCCACATTAACAGACTGAACAACAACAAAAAAAACCCCAACATGATTATATCAATAGGTGCAGAAAAAGCATTTGACAAAATTTAACATTCATAATAAAAATTCAGCAGATGCAGAATAGAAGGGAACTTCTTCAGTCTGGTAAAGATCATCTGCAAAATACTACAGCTAACATACTTAATAGTGAAAGATGGAATGCTTTCCTCCTAAGATTGGAAACTAAGGCAAAAATATCTACTATTGCTACTATTGAATATTGCTCTGGAAGCCTTAGCAAATGCAATAAGGTGAGCAAAAAATAAAATCCATTCTGGTTGAAAAGGAAGAAGTAGAACTATTCACAGCTGATGTGATGGTCTCTGTAGAAAAGTCCAAGGAACCTAAAAACTCCTGGAACTGATCAATTTAACAAGGTTGCAGGATACAAGATTAATATACAAAATCCATGGTCTTTCTATACATTACCAATGAACAAGTAGAAACTGAAAAGTTTTAAACTACGATTCGTAAAAGCTCCCAAAGAGAAAGAGAAATATTTATGCAACAAAATATGTATAGGCTCTACATGCTAAAAAAATACAGAGTGCTAATGAAAGAGGTAAAAAAAAAAAAAAAGAGAGACCTATCATGTTCACAGATGGGAAGACTTGATATAATTAAGATGTCAGTTCTTCCCAAACTAATCTATAGATTTAATGCAATCCCAAACAAAAACCTGTATAGGAAGGTGAAGGGGACTAGATTAGGCAAGATGATTTTTGAAAAAGAACAAAGTTGAAGGACTTGTATATGATTTTAAGACATATAAATCTACAGTAGTTGAGACAGTGTAATATGGGCAAAAGGATAATGTAGAATAATGGAACAGAATAGAAAATCCAGAAATAGACACACAAATATGATCCACTGATTTTTGACAAAGGTACAATAGTAATTCAGTAGAGAAAGGACAGTCTTCAACACAAGGTACTAGAACTGGACATCTGTGTGCAAAAATATGAACCTTGATCTACACTTTATACACAAAAATTAAAATGGATCACAGCAAAACCACAGTGAGGTACCACTTTACATCCACTGCCTGGGCAATAAAAAGACTAACAAGTGATAGTGGTTGGAACTCTCATAAATTAGTGGTGAAAAGTCAAATGGTGCAGCCACTTTAAGCCAGAGTTTAGCAGTTCTTCAAAAAGTTAAATGGAGTTACTAAAAGACCCAGCAATTCCACTCCTAGGTATGTCCAAGAGAAATGAAAATATTTGTGTGCAAGTTTTTGTGTGGACATATGTTCATAGGAGCAGCATAATAGCTAAATTGTTGAAACAAGCAAAATGTCCAACTGACGCATGGATAAAATATAGAGCATTTATACAATGGACTATTATTCAGCTATAAAAAGAAATGAAGTACTGATACATGTTACAACATAGATGGACCTTTAAAATATGCCAAGTCAGTCACAAAAGGTCACATATATGATTCCAATTATATGAAATCCTTAGAACAGGCAAATTTATAGAGACAGAAAGTAGATTAGTGGTTGCTAGGGCTAAAGATGGGAAGTGGAGAAGGGGATTGATTGCTAATAGGCATGGAGTTTCTTTATTGTGGGGATGCAAATGTTCCAAAAATAGATTAGGGAAATGATTACACAACTCTAAATATGCTAAAATAAAATTAAAATTAAAAAACATTCATTTAATGTTAAAAGGGTGAGTTGTATGGTATGTAAATTATACCTTAATAAAGCTATTTTTAAAAATAGATCAGGGGGGCGGAGCAAGATGGCGGAGGAGTAGGAGACCTGGATTTCGTCTCCTCTCAGGAATTCAGCTGGATAGGGATCAAACCATTCTGAACACCTACAAACCCAACAGGAGATCAAAGAAAAGAAGAGCAACAACTTTCTGAACAGAAAAGCGACCACTTTCTGGAAGGTAGGACGTGCGGAGAAGTGAATCCGAGGCGATATTCGGGAGGATAGACGGCGGGGGAGGGGCCTCCGTCGGCCGCTTCTGGCAAGTGATAGAACCACGGAGCACAAAATCGGAACTTTTAAAAGTCTGCTCCGCCGAGGGACGTCACTCTGGTGGCTAAGCGGGGGGTGGAACCCTCCGGGACAGTGTGGTCTCAGGACCCTCGGGGTCACAGAAAGACCGGGGGTGCCTGAGTGCGGCAGAGCTCCCAGGTATCGGAGCAGGGAAGCCGGCTGCAGAGGCGGAGCCCAGGCGCGGGCTCTCAGCTCGGGGTGGCCATAAACCGTGATCTGCGGCACAGCCGGGCCACTGCTCCTCCAGCAGGGACCCAACAAGCGGCAGATCCGGGGAGACTCACCTTCCTCCCCCAGGAGGAGCCGCGCGGGAGGGCACCGCAGGGATCTGCTGGGTTTGGAGACTCCAGACCGGGTCGGGTGCCAGAGATAGAAACGCGCAGTCACAGGCCGGTTGAGCATGGAGTGCAGCCGGAGACCGGGGAGACGGGAGTGACTGACGGCTTTTCTCTGGGGGCTCACTGAGGAGCAGGCCCGAGTTCTCGGCTCCTCCGGGGCGGAGATTGGGAGGCCGCCATTTTCACTCTCCGCCTCCAAAGCTGTACGGAAAGCTCGCAGGGAACAAAAGCCCCGGAGAGCAAACCCGAGCAGATTACTTAGCCGGGAGGGGGCAAGGGCGGGGCACTTCCGCCTCCGGCAGAGACATTTGGAAACCACGGCAACAGGCCCCTCCCCAGAAGATCAGCGAGAACAGCCAGCCAAGACCAAGTTTACCGATCAATGAGAACGGCAGAACTCCAGCGCTAGGGGAATACTGCACATAGAATTCACGGCTTTTTTACCATGATTCCTTAGTCTTTTAAAGTTAATTTTTTTTTAACTGTCTTTTTGTCTTTTTATTTCTTTTTGAATTTTTCTTTTTCCCTTTTTCAAACAACATCTTATCAATCCCTTTTTTTAAAAAAAAAACATTTTTATTTTTCATTTTTAGAGTCATATTCTATCCCTTCATAGTAGTTACCCATATTTTTGGCTTATATATATAAGTTGTTCTCTCTTTAAAATTTTGAGATAGTTTCTTCTAACAGATTAAAATATACCCTAAATCTCTAGTATATGGTGTTTTCTATTCCCCTGCCTGATCACATCCTCTCCCTTTTTTTTTCTTTTTCTTTTTTCTTTTTTTAAATCTTCTTCTTTCTTTTTCAAACAACTTATCAATTCCTTTTATAAAATTTTTTATAATTTCCATTTTTACAGTCATTTTCTATCCCTTCATCATATCAACCCTTATTTTTGTACATATATCTTTTTCTTTCTTTAAAATTTTGGGAGACACTTTCTTCTAAAAGACCAAAACACACCCCAAATCTAGTGTGTGGCACTGATCTATATACCATATAGATCATATTTGATCACATTCTGGTTTTTCTTTTGTTGTTGTTGTTTTGTTTTGTTTGTTTTTGTTTTTATCTTTATCTTTTTCTTTTTTTTTTTCTTTTTCTTTTTTCTCTCTTTCCCCTTCTTATCCCACTGCTTCAGGTCTTTTCTGATTTGTTTAGAGTATATTTTCTGGGGACGTGGTTACTCTGCTAGCATTTTGTTCTCTCATTAATCTATTCTCCTCTGCACAAAATGACGAGACGGAAAAAATCACCTCAACAAAAAGAACAAGAGGCAGTACCGACTGCCAGGGACCTACTCAATACGGACATTAGTACGATGTCAGATCTAGAGTTCAGAATCATCACTTTAAAGATACTAGCTGGGCTTGAAAAAAATATGGAAGTTATTAGAGAAACTCTTTCTGGAGAAGTAAAAGAGCTAAAATCCAACCAAGTAGAAATCAAAAAGGCTATTAATGAGGTGCAATCAAAATTGGGGGCGCTAACTGCTAGAATAAATGAGGCAGAAGAGAGAATCAGTAATATAGAAGATGAAATGCTGGAAAATAAAGAAGCTGAGAAAAAGAGAGATAAACAACTACTGGATCATGAGGGCAGAATTCGAGAGATAAGCGATACCATAAGACGAAACAACATTAGAATAATTGGGATCCCAGAAGAAGAAGAAAGAGAGAGAGGGGCAGAAGGTATAATGGAGCAAATTATAGCAGAGAACTTCCCTAATTTGGGGAAAGAAACAGGCATGAAAATCCAGGAAGCACAGAGAACCC